ACGTGTGGCGAACTCGATGGTGTCACCAACTGAAAGAGCTGGAAAGAAGATCTCCTCTTCTGTATTCATGATGATCTGACCACGATATTGTTTGGCTTCTTGACTGGTCATGGAACCGAACGAGACGTCGCCAGTAATTTCTGCGAAGCCATTTCTGTGGTTTGATAGAACGCTAAGCAGCGTTGTGCATCCGGCTCCTGGATTTCCAAGAACAAGTAACATCTCACCGGGTTTGACACATCCAAAAGAGTTGTCGATAATAGTCTTCAGGGGTGGGCTCTTACTACCCTTCCCGAATGGGTTGAATTGAGAGAGAACATTTTCGTTGTAAAGCGCATCACTGCTGATGCCCTTTACTGTGAGGTTCTTCCATGTCACCCCAAGCTTCTTCGATTTTCCACCGTTAGTCTCGTTACGTTGTCGTATTTGTAGTATATCTGCAGTGATGGGCCATTGTGAGATGTCTCGGGGGTCGATCTTTTGGCCGGATTCGTCGTCTGGCTGCTCCGCGCTGGAGTCGACGATAGGGTCCGCCGTTGGGGAGGGAGATCGTCCGGAGGGCTTTCCAAGCGAACTCGCCTGGTACATCGCTTTCTCGGGGGCGCGATTGACCTCAATGTTGTAGCTCTTCGGATTCACTAATTTGCCAGACTCTTGACAGCAAAAGAACTTCGATGGAAAACAATGCTGGAGATCAGACGACTGGAGTTGCCGGTGGGAGAGTAGCAACATCACGCACGAGATATAAGAACAATAAAGTAATGGCGTATATGACCATAACTTAGCTTCTGATTAATAATCCGACTCAAGGCCCGGAGCCCAAACTTATTAATGTGCTGAACAAAGAGCATGGGACATCTTTTCGACGGATGGGGTGATTATTCAACATCTCGTGTATTAAGGTTTTCCTAACAGTGACGGATAGGGCTTTTAGTGAACATCTCGTGCATTAAGGTTTCCTAACAGTTAGTTCCACCGTCTTTGTTGAATCATCAGGCATTTGGGCGGGTCTAACCTTATAATCACTAGCCCCCATGGATCGACAGTTGGTCCGACTAATCAATCACATTCATTGCGAGCTACGATGGTTGAACGACTAGAATTAATTCAGTGCGTCAATGAAGAACCGACTGAACCCACTTATCCCCAATGGTCATACTCATCTTTCTTCCATGGGAATTTCTTTGTCTGATCCCAAGTTAAGTTATTAACTAACCTGTCGGCTTGATTATTAATCTGCCACTACCACTAACTACCTTCAGGTCAGACATTGGACCTTTGCGTCGAAATGTTTAGATATATTTTCGGGTGGCGCAGCATTAAAGTTGATGTCATCAGTCAAAGCCTTATCTTTTTGGTCCCCGGCTGCGTCTCCACTACTCATCACGTCCTGCAGGACTTTGCATGGCAGATTTGAGCGAGTGTGGGTTGCTGTAGTCAGCCCCAATGACAGTTAAGCTTTCAGGGGAAAAATGTCGGGAGAGAATGGTGACTAGAAATGGAGAGCAGCGTCATTCTTGGTCGACGGTGGGCCCAAGACTTCCGCCTGGGCCAATCCCATGCCACTGTAGTAGAAACTTCGACTTTTCTCAACAGCTCCCTCTCGGTATGATGAATAAACACCTGACTATTGGTTCGCGGTCGGAGCTTGAGGTTATCCAATTGAATGATTTCTAATCACAGCTTAAAGACACTAATTACGGGTGTAGAGAGGCATAAGTAGAACAGATGCTGTTCACCCAGTATCATTTACTTCCCTGTGCAGTCAATAGTTCTGATCACTCTGTACTATTTTTTAACTTTTTACCCTGTTTATCACTGTCACGCCAAAGCGAGCACCTCTAACTTCCCTGACTCCATCACCACCCCACAGCCATGACGACTCCTACCAACATTGATCCCAAGGATATTCAAGCATACTGGGCCAAATATTAAGGGGACAAGTATGTTGAGGGCTGGGCCTCCCTCTGGGACAAAGGTGATAATCTGCTCTGGGATCATGGTTTTCCTAACCCCGCGCTAGAAGACACCCTGGTCCAGCGAGCTGGCACCATTGGCGGGCCCATCATGCAGGACGGTGAGAGAAGGAAGGCCCTAGTGCTGGGCTGTAGACGTGGAGTTGATGTGCTCTTATTCGCGAGCTTTAGGTATAATGCCTTTGGCCTGGAGTGCAGCGCCGCAGCTGTTAAAGCGTGTAAGAAGGAGGAGAAGGAGAACCATAGCTAGTACTGCATGCAAGATGAGAAAGTTGGGAAAGGGAAGGTCACTTTCATCCAGGGGGATTTCTTTAATGATACCTGGTTGAAGGAAATTAGAGTACCTTGAAATGGATTTGATGTCATTTATGATTACATAGTATGTATACTCACTGCTGCTGTTAGGCTCCATTCCATCATTGCCATTATTTTCTCTCCACTTGTACTCTGCATCCTATAGAGGGACCTGTAAGATGCTTCACTCTGTCTTTGGAATTTTAATGTGCCATTTCTGACCCACCCTGGATCCTTCTAGTCTTTCTTGGACTTTCCTTCTAACAACCGTCTAGTTTTTCTGTGCTCTGAACCCAGAGCTCTATCCTAAATGGGCTCTCCAACACACCAAGCTCCTTGCTCCCTTACCTACAGGCAATCTGATCTATCTGGAATCTCCTCATCATAAGGACCCCTTGGCCCCCAGCCCTCCATTTACCTCTCCCTCTAAGGCCTACATGGAGCATCTGAGCCACCCCAGTGAGAAGATCTCCTACAATAATAAGGGTCTTGTCAATGCGGACCCGTTCTGAGAGCCCAGCAAGGCGGGCCTGGAGAGAGTGGCATACTGGTAGCCAGAGCGCACGCACGCTGTGGGTAAGGATAAGAATGGGGTGATCCATAACAGAGTCTCTATATGGCATCAACATAACTAGAAATGTGCCTGCGCATTTATGTGACCCAAAAAGGGAGAATATATAAATAGAAAATATAGCTAATTTTGGAGTCCGGCCCCGGATTTCAAAGGCCAGCCTAAAGACGCTAAAGTGATAGTCAAAATGAAGGGCTGGGATGCAAAGGGCACTTTTCTAAAGAAATTTCACAGACATAGGGAACATATGCTCTGGAAGGATTTCCTCACTCCACAGCAGGATCCTACTTCTAATCATTGCATCATGCAAAGTAAGCAGAGATTATATCTATTATAGATAATTATTATTTTTATATATAATTCATGGTATTTCGCACACAGGATTAGACGCCCAAGGATCATTAAGAGTTATAATGTGAATGGCATTCTCAATATCGCGCTTTCAGAACGCTGGTCCGCGACTGAGACAGATGGGGCAAAGGGAAAGATCTACAACAAGGTCAGTAAATGCATAGACAAGAAGACACAAAGAACCATTAATCTCAGCATTACTGACATTTAATGAATCTCACTGCGTTGAGTTGCGGAGCTGAATTGAACCGGTGACTAGAGAGGGGTAAGCTTAGGTCCTGAATATGAATCCCTTGCTGCTGTAGCAGCCTTTACACACCACTTGCATCCATCCACTCATCAGCACCTGATTTATTAATAATTTGCCACGTTCGCGAGGAAAGGGTGAGTTATTTAGGTGAGTAGCTATTCCTCCTTAAATTAAGAACTTTTGTCCTTAACTCAATCATATCTCCTATTTTGTTGTGCATGACAGCGACGAATCCGGAGATTAAGCAGTTGCGCTTGTTAATGGCTAATTATTTGCCGAAGATTGCTTTGACCCTTGGATCGTCTCTAGATAAGCTTATTAATAGATAGTATCCAGTCTCGCAGCATTGTCAGACCAGAAGGTGTGAGAGTGTCCAGCACCCTTGCTTTAAGAGATTATTGGGCGATACTATGGTCGGGAAATTCAAGGCGGGACTAGGGATGGATGAGAAGGGGATATTTGGAGATGATAAGGCCATTCTGAACGGTAGAATTGCTTGTTCTTGGAAGGGTGGCATGGGGGGTAGTTGTGATAGTCCAGGCCATTGAGCCGCGAGGTCCGATGAGGACTGGAAAGCATCACTGATTCTTGGTAATGAATCAAGTTGCGTTATGAGCGGATTGTAATTTGAGATTATATCTTGTGTATTGCTGAGCGTGAGAGATGTCAATGGTGATATGTCCGCCGGGGCTATAGGTGCTTGTTTGACCTCATCAGAGCCCCTTTTAGTAAGTGACATGTATTGCTGTGTAATTCTTTGCAGAGCAGCTGTGACACAAGGCTGATTTTAGAGAATCCCAGCCTTGAATAGAAGATTACTAAAGGAAAGGAACAACACGCTGAGCTCTTCAATGCCTGACTTGAGTTCCTATATGCAAGATTGCAGATTAATAATCATGGTCTCTTTTCTCTTGCGATATGCCTGCTGCGTGATATGAAGCTACTTTCAACATCTCTGGATTCCTTAAGTCAGTTCTAACTTGCTCTATAGTTGCTTAGGATATGCCCACCTTAGGAGCTTGCTGATCATCCGTCATATTTCGTGGCCGGCCTCTCTTACGAGGAGCGGGCGCGTCAGTCATTACTTTAACCATTATGTATTACTTTTGAGGCCTTTTCTTTTATCTTAAAGACATGCGGTGATGTAATGGATAATCTAAGAATATAAAAAGGACGTGATGGTGTTGCTTTACTCATTAGGTTGGGGGTGTCGGGACTGTTGAATAATCAAAAAATCAGTGGGTCGCCACGATTGGCCCAAACTGCGCCCAAAGTTTATGGCTTTAAAATTAGCTGGAGTCGGGCTCTCATGCTCCGTCTAAACATCATCAACTCATGATGAAGACTGAGCGCGCCGCAATAAAGAATATAAATTGAATTATTGACCTTAGCTTACTCCATAATTCTCCATCTCTAATGCTCTGAAATACCTTCATCCTGTAGCATACAGTGTACAGCTCTCGCAACATGTCTTCATTCACTCAGCAGATGCTAGTAGTTGCCTGCGGCAGAATACCCGCGATGGGGAAATGAATCTCTCAGCACCTGCTGCCTGAATATGAAGGTTCTTGATATATATTCCTGAAATAAACAAAGTCTAGTGCTAATGCTCCTCAGTCATCCACTTCATCCTGTTATATAAAGCTGCAGAGGCTGAGCTCCCGCATCTGCTTGTAGGTCGTGATCCTTAGTCTCAGAGCCCTAATGAGATTAGAACCTATGATTACAGCCGGCCTCCTCGCGCGGTAATCTTCGGTCGCGGCTATGAGCCTCAGCAGGTTGAAGAGCTTAAAAAGAAATTCGCGGGTGTTGCTAAAGAACCTGTTGCTTGGGTGAGGGGGAACCCAGCGGATTTGCCTGCTGGGGCCGCTGGGCCTGACTATGCTCAGAATATCGCAGCGGATATGAAGAAGGTGCTTAATAAATGGAGGGACGTGGAAGGAAAAGATGAGGAGATTTTGGTGTACTAGTTGCTTTGTCAGGGAGAGATTATCTGATGCCTTGCTTTTTGCCAGTTCGAATTTCACAAACACAAATTCAAGGGCCGATTCTTATTCTTCAAGGATATTTGTAAGTGGTCTTGGACTTCGCTAGTTGGTTCCCTGGGCGTCGATCTTTTGGCGGTCGATATACTTCTTCTGGTCGAGGCATAGAATGAGAATAGGAGATTGAGCATCCAAATGTTTACACTAAAATCCATACATTAAAGCTGATGTTTCATCCGCGACATGGGAAGTACCATCGTTGTTCACTTTCTCCTTCTAGTTCAAGTGAACAATTCCACTTCCCAGAGCATCGTATTTATTCCTGAACTATATCTGTGAATATGCAAGTAACATTCAAATTCCTAAGATATAACTGCGACATAGACTGGCTTCGCCTGGCTGATTGAGTACGTCTCCTGCCGTTTCGCTGCTACAATTCATTCAGCAGAGACTGACAGCGCAAATATAGTCATTAAGCCGGTGAATAGCATTCCACTCTACATCGCTCCCGAGGACGTCCGTATCGCTGCTGATAACCTGAGTTTCCGCTGCTACACGCCGATTCGTGCAAACTAGAATCCAACCCTTTCGCCGCCTCAGAAGACTCATCGAACCAGCTCAAACCCCTAAGTTTGGTGCTGTACTAAACCTGAAGTGAACCCTTTGTCCTCCCTAGAAAATGCTTCATAATCTCATTCCATGGAAGATTGTCTTTCTACTTTAATTTTATTAGAAGTCTGTCCTCCTCAGATAAGACAGCAACACACCTGCTGGTAGCATAACCAGAGGGTTTATGGTTCCTGCATGCCCTGTACCCACTCTAGAGACCATCATCTTAATTCTCTAAAGGGCACCTTGTTGACTTATTCAAGAGAAGATCCATTGTTCTATCTTCCTTAAAAGTAAAGGAATAGACCACGCGAGAGAGAAGTACCTGGCGCATTAGATAGCCCCTAACAGGAATAGTCTTAATATCCTGAAGTCCAGTTGTTTAATAGTGATGCCAAGGTTCATCAAAGCAGACGGTTTCCTGTTATATAGTTCTTTATGTTTTATGGCATACTTAGCCCATCCTTTGCCTCACAGTGACCCTTCGTCGCCATCGCTTCTAGGGATGCGGCAAAGTGTCACTATCATCACCATCCTCATTTCTATTAGCATAATCATTATCACCATGATCATTATTATTAACATTGCTTAGAGATACAGAATTCCTCTTCCTTTTATCCATGCTTAACATCTACAAGCTGGACTTCATCTGCTCAGCGGTTGCTATGATTAAGGGGCGTTCCGGTATAATAACAGAGATGGAATAAGACTGAGATGGACTTTTTAAATAATTTCATAACCCTAACTCTGGTACCGCGCATGTCTCAGGTTATTCAGGGGCATTCAAGGCGTGGGTCATCAATGCAGCATCATCCACTGGGTGTAGAGTTATCTAGGCGCCATTATCATCCCCTAGCAATGTATCATGCCTATTATGAAGGCTTTGGCTCTGTTAACATTCAGCTAGCACTATAATCAGATCTTCTTCTACTATAGCTGAGCAATTCATCGCCTGGATGCTGTTTGCGGTCAGTATTGTTATGTTTTCACTCATTGAATCAGGCCACTTGGGATTATGACAAGACATAACCTCAGATTCAGCAGTATCTGTCATAACATGATCTCTCAATAAGTTGTAAGATGTGGAATTGCAGTGGTCATTCAGCTCTGACAAAGACAGAGCTGTTTAAGCACATGAGACTGGAGCATAAGCAATATTTAAAGGAAGGACGCACTGTTAAGTACATAATTACTAGATTTAGCATCTATAGATGCTGTATATGTTAATAAAACCTTAGAATTAATTAGATCTGGCGGAGATGTTCCCTCTTTTTTAGGGGTAAGATGGGCCTGCGCTGGAGTACCCTGCAGACTATTTCTAATCTATCCTTTTATTATATTCTCTAAGGAAACTATGTAGCAGTTATATTAACTAAGTTAGATAGAAGATCATATTAATAAAGCTGGACATGATATAAGAAAGGCATGGCTCATTTACCTAAGATAACAGATAGGGCAATTTTCTTACTACTGCTTAGCCTAACTAATTACCCTATTGCGGCATTAGCTCCATAGTTATCTTGCTGGTATTTACCTTTATTAATGAATAGATTAAGACAGGGCTGGCCTTTAAAGATTGCCGCGTCCAGTTAGGCAAACTCTTCATCAGAATCATTTATCTCAGTTATATGGCGTATCTTAATACTGGACTCAGGGACTTAACTAACATTAGTGACTTGTAATAGTCCAGAGGAGCGGTATAATGTGGACAAAAAAGAATTTAGGAGGGGAGGAGAGGTAGACTATAAAATAAAATAATAGGGAAGCAGTATCAGAGGGTGAGGTGGGAGAGGATATAACTTTAAAGGTAGTAATAAGGGGAAGTTTAAATACTGTGAGACCTTAAAGCATGAGGCGCGTAGCTGTAATGGCTTAGAAGGGGGTTTAAGGATAGGTGAAGGGTGGTAAGGGATGATATGGTTAAGGTTAATGACAGGCATGGCGCGAATGTCTAGAGAGAAAGATGCACTGAGAGTAATTCAGCATAATTTCTCTAGGACTAGTATGAAAAAAGTAAGGAAATGGAGAATTGTGGAAAGTGAAATTACAGACTGGGAGTTTTGAGGGCGAACCACATAAGGTGCTTTATATTATTCTTTACTGTTTCTTCCTAAGCTGACAGCCCGTGTCATCAACCAAAATTTTAACCATGCCTCCACTGAGAGCGCCTATGTTGTATTCCTAGATGTCAGAGTCGTAAATCTGAGAAATCCCACGGCCCAACACCTTGATCTTTCTGTTGGGCTGCAGTCACTCCGAGACAGCGGCGAAATAACTGGGCTCCGCGGACAGGGGATAGCCAACCACCCCAGACACCCAGAAAAGAGCAGCCAATGAAGCACGACTCCATGAGGTGCGGCAATTCTGTGATTAGCCATAGGCTACCATTATTGAAACATTCGAGATTACAATCACCCATCTTCCTTGCTGCTGCGCCTTAGCAGGTGGGCTGGGTTCAGTGAATCCACAGAGATGTGATACCACTGATTCCACTCAACTATAACTTATAATTAGATGGCTAGCAGTGATAGCAGCTGCAAGGCGCACTTAGGGAAATAGAGATGCATTATTTTTGCTATTAGCTACATATTGCAAATGGCTGGACTAGAGGAATAGAAACAGCTGGTAGAGATAACAAAGATATAATGACCAGCTTCCATTAGTGACTGGTGTGCGAGGATGGGCAATGCTGGATGGATTAGCTACAGCCTAACTATATCAAAGCATTGCTCTCCTTGTTTAAATATTGCTAGAGATACATTAGCAATAAGCCTAATAAATGGAATGATTAAGTGCATGTAGGAGAAAGCAGGGGAGACTTTCTCATCTAATTAACTAGGAATTCTTAGGGGTGCACACAGAAAGCACTCTTTGCCATAGAGGAAGAGCTGTTGCCTGCTAGGGGGGCACCAAGATATAGGCCACATTACTGAAAATTTTAAAAGAGGCAGGGATGGCCTGTTAGATAGGAGGATAATATACTACAATGACTAGAAATTATTAGCTAGGTTTCAGGTTTCCTCTTGCTAGGAGATATGAAGAGTGGTGAAGGCGATAGATTAGTTAGATAATGAGGAGAGAAATTTTGTTAGCCCCCCTTTTTATTTCAGGTGGATGGCGTACTCCAGCTGCTGATGAGATATATTAGTTCTATATAGAATGCCTCCTGGGTGGGAAAGAAAGAACTTCAAAGAAGGGGACGGCCTGTTAAGCAATGCATTGTCTGTTTACGGAGGCGTGCACCAAAAGTGTTGACCCACGCTAGTAAGATTGGCTGTATCCTGCTGACGCAGCCCCATAGTAATTTATATAGTAACGCGTCTAGAAGGAAAAATCTTTGTTTACATTCTAATATTCAACACTTTGAGACTATCCAAACTCACTATTTTCATTGAATCTATTGCTCACCATGCCTAAGAATGGTTACCATCCAATCGAACTACGCATACAGATACTAGGACTTATATCCTGGGGCGTAGAAGCCAAAGATATTGCTGACAAGCTAGAGGTTCCTATTCGATCTATCCGGAAGATGATACAACGTGCAAAAGACCGTGGATTCAACCCTGGAAGCTGCGAATGTATATGAATGGAATATGCTGAGGATGCTAAACGATCTGGCCGACCTAAGGAGATAACACCTGAGAAGGAGAAAGCCATTATTAATTCTGTATCCAAGGACCGCAATGGAAGGGAGAAATCATCTGAAATTCTAGCTTATGAGGCTGGTATATCACACTCCTCTGTTTTACAGATTCTTAAGCGAAATGGATTTGTTATTGCGAAGCCTTCCTGGAAACCTGGACTAACTGAAGCTGCTAAGGCCAAACAACTCAAATTCTGCCTGGATCACCAACACTGGACCCTAGACGATTGGAAGAATGTCATCTGGATGGATGAAACTGCGGTAGTCCTTGGCCACCAGCGTGGATCTGTACGTGTATGGCGAACAGTTGAAGATCGGTATGATTTAACATGTGTACGGCGGCGTTGGAAAGGGGCATCTGATTTTATGGTTTGGGCGTGCTTCTCTTATGAGAAGAAAGGTCCTATTCATATCTGGGAGCCAGAAACAGCACAATAGAAGAAGCAGGCTGAGATAGAAATTGAAGCCTTAAACCAGGCGCTTGAACCTATCTACCGTGCTAAATGGGAGATGAATACTACTATGAATCGCCTTCATCTCCGCGGAATTGGGGGGCGTAAGCCTACGTGGAAGTGGAATGAGAAGAATGGTAAATATGTTTGTAATGCAAAGAAAGGTGGAATAGATTAGTGGAGATATCGAAAGGTAAGATTCTTCTAATCTTAGTAATTTATATACTAATTTAGAACTTCTCCCTTCTAGGAAGTCTTGATTCCAAAGCTTATTCCTT